AACAGGACCTTTGCCAATTTTAAAGTATCTAAAAATTTTATTGGATTCAAGTTTTAATGCTCTGAGTTTATATTAAGTTTTTTTATTATTTGTTTTTTTTTAAATAAGATATACTAATTTATGGAACAGAAGGAAAACTTTCAAAATCAACCTGTTTATCAAAATAATTAAGATAAAATCTTAAAAGATCTGAAACTTTTTAATTCACTAGATTTGGAGACTTTCTTTTCTAAGTTTTCAATGAAAATACATTAGTAAATTTACATTAAGAGAAGGTTAATATATTAAAGAATTCCTATAGCAAACAGCAATTTAATATTATCTAATTGATTTTTATTTATGTTAAATGAAGTCTTAGTGATTTAAAAAAAGAGTGTAAAGTATTTTTCATTTTTACAAACATGATAAATATTTAATTACTGTGGAGAAGGAAATCGACTTTTTCTTATACTACTGATACCATACCTATAGAATGCTTTTTATAAACAATTAAAAAATTTATTAGGTTCAAATAAGAACCATAATTAAAATATTTCCAATAAATATCAAATTATTTTGGTTTCTTGAAAAAATAGTATAATAGGATTTAAAAAAGAGATATCTATTTTTTACATTTAATAGTTGAATTAATAATAACAACAACTGAACAATATGAAATTTGAATAAGTTCAAACAATTTTATTATATATACTAGAATTAATTAAAGCTTGGATATATAGAGAAACTTAACAAATAAAATAAACTATTGCTAAAATTGTAAATATGAGTAAATATATAAGGAATAAAAGTTTGAAGAGAACTATATATTTTTAGGGAAGGTTAACTTACAAATTCTCTAAAAGTAGATATGGTGATTCATAATTTTTTAAAATAAATCAATTAAGCATTTGTAAATATAATTTGTTAAATTTATTATCTTAAAGGATTTCAATCACTTTCCTTATTGAAATTATATCTACTAGCTTTTTCGAAGCTATCCTTATAATAGAATATATTTTAGAAGAAGAATTGAATTTATATTGAATAGTCATCTCGACAATTTTTTTATTATATTAATAATAATGAACTAGAGATTATTTATAATCAATTCCTATACTTTTGAGATTTTATAAATTATTACTACTGTTGAGTTTTTGTTGATAATTAATAAGCAAACAATAATTTGAATATTTCATTTAATTGCAACCTTTAATAATTGAATTATAAAGGCTTATAAACAAAGTAAAAAAACAATTACCTTCTTTTTTTAATTTCAAAGGTAGGATTATGTTAATAGTTGTTAGAGACGTAAGACATAAAAAAAGGGATAATATTTTGAAAAAAATCTATGATAATAGAATTTTTATAGACAATAAAGAGTTAAAATTATAGAGTCAATCTATCAGATTTAACTTTTGGCTCGAATTTTCTATTTTTAACTAATTTTATTTTAATTAATATATTAATATTAAATTAAATTTAATTAAATTTATGCTATTGATTGTGTCAGCAATTTATGTTTGGATAGCTCAAGCAGATTGGGTTATGGTAGACTCAAATTTTTTGAAAGGATTTACATCTAATAACTAATGGTAAATTTATAAAAAATGCAACACTTTTGAATCTGGTGCTAGCTTTTAACATTATACTTGCTCATAAAATTAAATTAAATATACGCGTCTTAAGAAAGACAATTAAAGATTAGATAAGAGTTTTAGTATAAAAAGTTACTAATAAGAAGTAATAGTTGATATATTTTTTGATAATGATAATTCAAGCCCTAATGATAAAAAAGTTTACTTCACATTAAACTTAACATCACCAAATTAAATTTTGACGTAGAGAGACTATTTCAATTCTGGTTTAACCCAAAACGCTAGAAGAATATGCAATAATACAGGATCAACATATTTTGATTTCATGACATATGTCGGTACATCTAATGCATAATCTAAAGATATATTTAGTATATCAATAGGTATTGAAGCAGAAGATGACTGTCAATAAATCGGGGTTAGAAATTTATTTGTCTACGTCAAATATTGTTTACCAACTTGCAAAACTTGTTCAAGTTCGAATAGTTGTCTAACGTGTTATTTCGGTACTCTATAATCAGATGGATCTTGTACTTGTGACCCTTCTCATTAATTTGCTTAAACTGGGATTGGATGCAGATAAGAATGTGAAAGAGATTACTATATAGCAAGATCAGATAATATTTGTGTTCAAGATAGAAGAATTAAATCATATATTTCATATTTTGAATCTACAACTTTCACTGCTTATTCACCTTTTTAATTTATTTAAGATATTGTAAATCCAAGAAGTTCTCCATCGTTAATTTTCACTTGTGCATCTACTAATTATGTAGGAAGTTTAGTTTTTAACGAAGGAATGAGATTATAATTTGCAAATTCACAATCCTTAAAATTTATTAGGCTAAGGATTACATTTTATATAAAGGGCTTTTTAATTGATAATAGAATATAAATAATATTGGATAATTAAGTATAAGGGGAAATTATCAAGACCTCATCTAATTATAATTTTAATAATGTTAAAAAAATTTTCAGTGCAAGTATTACTTGCACTGATACTTATGATCTAATTAGAATAGAAGCAATTCTTCGAACTTACTATGTTACTCCTAAACTCATTTTAAAAGGAGTATAGTTAACATAAGCAACTTCGACATGGGGATTCAGAAATATAACAATTGATAGTGGTAATCGTTAAGAAAATTGTGCAGTATGTACTGATTTTTCAACATGTCAATAGTGCGATATTAATTATGTTTTATTTTAAAATAGTTGTGTCAGTGCTTGTCCAGTACATTCTGCTAATTGCATCGATTATGCAGATATGATACCAAGTAATTTAAACAATTATTTTTAGACTCTCGTTACTTAGCAAAAGGATTTTATAATTTAAATATGAGTACTTAAGATATAAACAATTTTTATGATGTTGTAATTTCAACTGGTAGTAATTTCTTGACAGGATAAAAATTTTCAATATTTCCCACTAAATTTGTTCTAGGAGGCGTTATGGTATGGAACAATGCAATATATAAAAAATCATGGAGTATATCAAAACCTCATTATGCTGTTACAATTAGATTTAATGTTACATATGGAGATTAGTATAATGGAAATTTTTATTATACAATTTAAGGAATAAAATCAGTAGCTCATCCAAAACCATCATCAGGAGGATAAAACTTTATTGGTAAGAATTTAAATGAAATAACAAAATATTTTGAAATTTTCCAGAGTCCATTCACATCCTCTTCATTAGATATTGAGTTTCAATGCACAGATACAACTGCAGATCCAAGAGATTAATTTTGCGCAATTTCTGATTACTTTATTGTAGTACACTATGTAAATATTTTGATTTTATTTTAAGTGTCTCCCATTTTGTTAATTTTGCAATGATGGGGTCTCTTGTGTTACTTGGGAATCTGGACACACAAGTTAAAATTGCAATACTAATTAGTTTCTATAATTTGATTCTAATTCAGAAACTTATAGTTGTATTACATGCAATTAGCCTGGATGTTTAACTAGCAAAAATTTGGAAGAATGCACTTCTTGTGATTTTTCAAAAGGGTTGAATAATGGTGTATGTTTATAATACAATAAATTCTGTGAAACTTGTAAAGGTAGTTTGAAAACAGATTGTATAACATGTGTTTAAGATTTTCAAAGATTTATATTCAACAATTAATGCTAATGTTTACCAGGCTATTATGATGATGATATTAATCTACCATGTCATCCTGTTTGTGGAGATCTTTTAGTAGTTGATGGAGAAGATTGCGATGATGGTAATAACAATCCATTTGATGGATGTCATAATTGTAAATTTGGATGTGATGCTTTTTGTTAAGAATGTATATAAGGGGTTTGCTATTTATGCTAAAATGATTTATAAATAATCGATAATAAATGTGTTGGAATTTGTGGAGATGATATAACATCTTTTGATGAGTAATGTGATGACGGAAATATAATTTCATTTGATGGTTGTTTTGAGTGTTAATATTAATGTTAGGCTGAATGCACAGATTGCAAATTTGGATTATGCTATGATTGTTCAATTAAAGGATGGTAATTATTTAATAATTATTGTATTCCTATTTGTGGGGATGGATATGTTATTGAAGGTTTTGAGGAATGTGATGATGGAAATATAATTCCATTTGATGGTTGTTTTGAATGCTAATTTTAATGTTAAATTGGTTGTATTGAGTGTTAGGAAAAATAATGCTTAAAATGTGATGAAAATTAATATTAATTTGATGTTTAAAAATCAAAATGTACTTAAATTAACAATGTTGATAATGATTAAGAAATAGATATGTTAACTTTATAGTTAGAATAATTTACTTAATTAAGATGTGGAGATAATTACTTACTAATTGATTATATATGTGTAAATTAATGTGGAAATGGACTGCTAAGTAGTTAAAGTGAAGCATGTGATGATGGTAACAATGTTGGAGGAGATGGATGTTCAGCTTTTTGTCAAATAGAGGATAAATACTAATGTTTAAATTAGAATGGATCATTAAGTCAATGTACATATATCCAAGCTCCTGAATTAAGCTTGAATATTTTTTCAAGTAATGCCAACTCTATTTAAGTTGTAGAATTAACTTTTACTTAAGAAGTTAAATTAAATGAAGATTTAAAACTTGAAGAATTTATGCTATTTAATATTCTTCCTCAAACACAATATAAATTGTCTATTAAAATCATTTCAAATATTACTATCAATCTAAATAATCCTAAATTTGAAATTGAAATCGAATTTATAGAACCAATCTAAAATCCTGTTCTTTAAGTTGATATATAGAAAGATACA